TTCATGCTCTGCTGTCCTATATGCTATCAACAGTGGATGGAGTAAGACATCCAAGTCATCTTGGGGGCTATCACAAAACTTTGCAAATTCCTGTCCCAGTATCCAGTTGTACGTTTCTACCATCCCATCAGACTGGGATTGTTCTGGTCTTTTGTATGCCAAACAATTTGCAGCATTCATGGAACACAGCTGATTCAAAGTTATGGCCTTGATCTGAATGCAGTTCGTATGGCATAACAAATCTGAAGAAGAAATCACTAATAGAAGAAATCACTACAGTTGTAGCTTCCTGATTTGGTATTGCATATGCCTCAGGCCACTTGGTGAAGTAATCCATCACCACACAAAAGTACCTGTTTCCAGCACTAGTTTGGGGCAAAGGACCAGCAATGTCAACGGCTACTCTTTTCATTGGTGCACCAACTTGATATAACTTCATTCGAGCACATCCCTTATGCTTGGGTCCCTTTTAGCACAGCATGTACTACATGTCCTGCACCGTTCCTTCACATCTTGCCTCATACATATCCAGTAAAATCTCTGTCATAGGTGACTCAATGTTTTCTTAACTCCGAGATGTCCTCCTGTTAAACTATAATGGGATCGACGCAGCACAACTTCCCGTAACTTTCTCGGTATAACTGTTTGCCAGTTTGTCACTTTCCCATCTCCGGAGAAGAATACCATCTTCAAGCTTCAACTGGTCTAATTGTGCCTAATAGTTCTTTGTCATCGGGCTTACATTGTCCTTCTCATGGGGAACTTGTAACTCATGAAGTGTTGGGTTCTCCTCTCTGGGAGGTCCAATCATGGTTTCCTGAGTTACATTGTCCTTCTCATGAATTTGTATTATAAAATAAAGAAAACATGATTACATTGGAAATTGTTGTAGTCAACAAGTATTGTGTTCTTATCGTGGCTCCTTGTGTAACTACTAATATTGTGCTTGAAAACTTAGATACTTCTATGCTTTCTACCCTCTGCCTCTTTCTCTTCTTTTTTTAGATTAAGGGTGTTTGAAAGAATAATACTGGTGCGTCAGCGAGGTCACGTGACTAGTGTAACGCCACCTCTCGAACCTTCGGGAATAGTCGGGAGATTACTAGATATAGGGTAGTCTGGTATATATATATAAGAGGGTGACAACGTGACAGAATAATGTGTGTGTAGGTAGTGAGTAATTGATCTGCAGTGAGAATGTATTATTTAAGTTGAGCACGTTGGTTGTTACAGCGCTTGTTTTAGCACGATTGTTGAAATTAAGTGTATCGTAAAGTTATATTTGGAACGAATAAACCAGTTTTATTAAGTAAGGACTTGTGTCGCTAAAGTTTCGTCGGAACGAATTTACGGAAAATCAACTAACAAACGGAGACGTAACAATACTCTATTGAGAAGAATGTTTTGCCTTTCAAGTGTCCATATTTTTAGTCCTGTATCTTTATAGGCTGGATACGTTCACCCATTTCTAGATATATCTAGGGTAACGGCTATTGTTTAGTTAAGGTTTCTGTTCAATCTCTTCTTCATCACAACATTCAGAGTTTTTGTTGTCAGGATTGTTATTTTACCCGTCCTTGTGCTCAATATCTGTTTATATGTAAACAGATATATATGTATTAGTAAACATGTTTATATGTATTAGTAAACTCTAGTTTCTTTCTGAATTTCAGTGTGTTTATTTTAGTTTATAGTTTTTCATAGGTAATTATGTCTTATTTGAATGTTATGTTTGTGTGACTAAAATTGATTTTTACGGGTACTTATCACTAAGATACTTTCTCACCCACCTCCCCAAAATCAAGAGGAATATATAATTCCATTGTGACTTCAAAGAAATCTGACTTGTGGTTGGAAAGTAGGTGATTGAACTATAAGTTGTGTTGAGTGGGAATGAGGTATATTAGATAAGGTGGTGTTACTGTATGAAGGTTGTTGAAACCACAGTAAAGTCTTACAGTATTTTTGAAGAAACTACTGATTTAACTTAGAGTTTTAAATTATAAAATTTCATATCTGTTTTATAAGGACAACATGATGAATCTCTTTTAGTCCCAGTAGAAAGTTAAAGTTCCACTATAAATGTATTTGATCTAGTCAGTTAATAGAAACTTATTGAGTAATGATTGAGTTTGAGTTATGATTTTTATTTTTCTACGTGTGTTTATTGTTCTGACTTTGCTCATCATATTTTAAATTATGCTTTACATATTTTTGATAACTGACAGTTTTCTGGTGGATGTCAGGATACCTGTGTACCACAAAGTAAATTATACACCAGACCTGTTCATCTAAACACATTGTGTTGTATTTCAGTGTGATGTAGTGAAGCATGATTTACATTCAATGTTGTTGTAGACAAATAAACACTATTTATACTTCTATCAACAGTAGAAGCTGATTCCTTACAACAAAGATCTTTACATACCATTTTGAAGTTTGGTGTAGTGAAAGAGGAACAAGAAGAGAACTGTGATGAAGGAACAGAAAAACTGGGGTAATTTTTGTTTAAAACGTTTATAGTTTTGTTAAAAGTTATTATAAAGTTGTAAAGATGTCTTTATGAACTTCATGTGACTAATGGAGAATTAGTGTTGAGATGTTTGAAGTCACAAAATTCACAAACTTTGATAAACTGTTCTCTTTTTTTTTGGTATCATTAAGGTTACACATATAGCATTAACTTTCTCTACATAGGCTCCATTGAATTGACCAACCCAGTGAACACTATGTACTTGTTGTAGTTTCAATACAACCAACTTATAATATAGTATGTGTATTTCACAAAATTTAGCAGACTTTCAGTAAACATTAAAAGTATTTTCCATACAAACAAAAACACTTTTTAGTGAAGTATTTTTACTAAAGATTTGTCTATGAATATATTGTCCTTGTTTTGAATAGTCCCAGTGCAAAATGACTGCAGAATAAAAATATTCAAATATCTCAAATTTCATTTAGTGTAATCTCTAAAACCTCCTAAACACACTTCAAATGCTATTGAATTACTGTTACGACAGCGGAAGTCACGTGACTCTAGTAACGCGTCATGATATTCTCGAAGGTTCATGAATGCTCGAGTGTTTGCTAGATATGCGGTATTCTTGTATATAAGTGCGTCAGACAATGAATCGATATAGAATTGCAGACAGACAGAGACGGACAATTGAGTCAAGCGCGGTAGTAAGTAAGTGCGTGAATCGTTCGTTGTGAACTATGGCGTATGTTTAAGTTAAACTGATTGTGGAAATTAAGTGTATTGCAAAGTTGTATTGAGAAAGAATAAACTATTTTTATTTAAGAAAGGACTTGTATCGCTAAAGTTTCATCAGAAAGAAATTATACGGGAAATTTACAAGAAACGAGAAGAACGAGAAAAGAAACAAGAAGAGAGATTACAACAGTTGTTAGAGGAAAAAGAAAAGAAACAAGAAGAGAAATTACAGCAGTTGTTGGAGGAAAAAGAAAAGAAACAAGAAGAGAAATTACAGCAGTTGTATTCGTCTACTATAAACCTTTTTATTGAACAAGATAAGATACAGTTGGTTGTTGTGATACTATACCATCGTATTTCAACAGTTGAATTTGTCTACTGTAAACCTTTCTATCGATCAAGATAAATTTTATTGTTGTGATACTATACCATAATTTGTCAGTAATGTAATTCGTCTACAATAAACCTTTTATTGAACAAGATAAGATAAAGTTGATTGTTGTGATACTATACCATGGTATTTCAACAGTTGAATTCGTCTACTATAAACCTTTTATTGAACAAGATAAGATCAAGTTGATTGTTGTGATACTATACCATCGTATTTCAACAGTTGAATTGGTCTACTGGAAACCTTTCTATTGAACAAGATAAGATAAAGTTGATTGTTATCATACTGTTACGTCTCCGTTTGTTAATTAACTTTCCGTAACTTCGTTCCGACGAAACTTTAGCGACACAAGTCCTTACTTAATAAAACTGGTTTATTCG